TCACGCTCTCTCATATGCATGTATATGTTATACATATCTATAACAACCAGCGGAGTACATTTATGCACATGTACACAGTTTTACCTTTGCTACACATCCGTTTGTGTGTATACATGTGCGGGGAAAGAGAGAGAGAGAGAGAGAGAGAGAGAGAGAGAGAGAACGAGGGACTCACATAGGTAGATACAGATGAGACGAGAGTATGCTATGCTGGTGCAGCCAATCCTCCCAGTTCATAGATTCAGAGGGGATGGTAGGCACTGAACCATTGGCTAAAGGCAAAGCGTAGTACACACAGTGCCAACTAGAGACGGAGCCACAGCAACAAACGCCGTCGGTAAAGCCATGCTTGTTTATTGGAGTCAGCAGTATGGGCTTCTCTTGGGACCGTCTGGAAGCGATGTGTGGAGCCTCTTGGTCCGTCTTGGATGCGCTGAAGATGGGATTGGCGAGGATGATCAACTACTCATACACCAACCTTGGGCCGTTGAGAGATTCCGAGTTCCGCAACCGACCCCGAAGGCTCCAAAAATGGCTTAAGAGACTCCCAACGATCAAAGAAGGGCCTCTGGGGCCATATTGGCACATTCCTCTTGTTTCGCGGTGTGTAGCACGTCTGGACCGCGTACAGTCCAGTCGTTGTGGGGACTCCTGGAAGCCTCTTGAGGCCCTCTTGGAGGCTTCAGGGAGACCCCTCGGGGCCTCTTTGGGGCATCTCGTGGGCGTCTTGGGCCGTCTTGGGGTGCCCTTGCGCTGTCTGGCCCCTTCGGAGGCCGTCTTGGGGGCTTCTCGGGGCCGCTTTGGGGCTCTCTCGGGGTCGTCCTGCGCCGTCTTGAGGGCCTCGTGGGCCGTCTTGCGGGCCTCCTCGGGACATCTTGGGGTGCTCTCGGGCCGCCTTGGGGCGCTCTTGCGCCGTCTGGCTCCTTCGGAAGCCGTTTTGGGGGCCTCTCGGGGTCGTCTGCGGGCTCTCTTGGGGTTCTCTTGGGCCGCCTTGACGGCCTCTCCAGCCGTCTTGGGGCCCTCGTTGGGCCATCTCGGGGCCTTCTCGGGCCGTCTTTGGGGGCCCTCTTGAGCCGTATGGGGGCCATCTTGGAGGCTGCTTGGGCCGTCACTGGCGCCTGCGAGTGCAAAACCGCGAAAACGCTAAACTTGTCATCAAACTGGCAGGGGAACCATCTTTTTGGCATCCGGAGGCGCTCGTGGGGGTTCCCTTGGGGCCCTTTGGGGCCATCTTGGGGGCTTCTTGGGCCGTCTTGGGGCCATCTTGGGCCGTCTTGGGACCATCTTGAGCCGTCATGGAGTCATCTTGAAGCCATCTTGAAGCCATCTTGATCGTTACACCCCCATCATTTCGCACTGGCGAGACGCTCCTCCGCAGTCTGGGCGTGGTCTCCTTTGCCTTCGCGAGGTGCACGGCTGGAGCACGTAGAGGCTGGGTGTTGGGTGGTCTGCCCTGCTCGTCTGCCCGGCTGTTCTGCCATGTCGCTCCGGCCGCCCAGGGGCGCTGCCGGCGCCACGGGGGGCGGATGCGTTCCCCCTTGTGTTCGGCGCCATGACGGGCGTGCGAGCGTCCACGAGGGCAATGGGCGCCTACCTCGTGTCAGCACACGGCAACGCCACGTTCAAAGTCTGATGATCGTAGCAGCATTGCGTCCTTCGCATACAGTTCCGCGGGTCTCTTGGTGGTTTCTTGCGGCCGTTTTGGGGCTTCCTTGGTGCCTGTTGGAGGCTTCTTGGGGGCCTCCTGAGGGCCTCCTGGGGGCCTCTTGGGAGCCTCTTGTGGAATCTTGGGGCCTCTTGGGCTGTCTTGGAGCGCTGTTGTGCCGTCTGGCCCCTTCGGAGGCCGTCTTGGGGCCTCTCGGGGCAGCCTTGTGGCTCTCTTGAGGTCCTCTTGGGCCGTCTTGGGGGCCTCTTGAGCCGTCTTGGGGGCATCTTTGGGCCATCTTAGGGTCCTCTCGGGCTGTTTTTGGGTCCTCTTGGGGGCCTCTGGGGCCGTTTTGGGTGCTGCTTGGGCCGTCATGGGCCCCCGAGAGTCCAAACCGGATGGGGCCTTTTAGGGCCATCTTGGGCCGTCTTGGAGCAGTCTGAGGCCGTCTGGAGGCCATGCTGAGCCGTCTGGAGGCCCTTTTGCTCCCCCAAGAGGCGCCAGAGGCCAGCGCCACACATTTCCCATGCGTGTTGGTACTGTTTGGGCCCCAGAAAGGGGGGGCGTCACTTTGGTCCGCCAATGTGGCATGACTCCAGGCGGTTTGTCGTGGTTCATAACACAATATGTCGCAACTATGCATTGCTAGCCTGTGTGGGCCCCCAGCCAGTGTGTTTCTAGCAGTGCACGTTGTGCAATCTAGGTGGAGCAATAGTTGTGGTACTGTCCCTTTTGTGCAATCCACTCTGCTGAGCTTTAAGCCGTCATCTCCACTGCTCGCGCAAATATCCCACCCTCCCACCCGCAACTTGTTTGGCAAAGCTCATGATGCGGGGGACGGCGGCGCTACCGATGACGACATCGATGGTAACATCCTCACCGCCGATGCTCGGCACCGTGAGTCGATAATGAACGTGAGCATATCGACGATACTCGGACGTGCGCGATGACAAGATGACGTCGGCAACGTCTGCGACAATGACGAAGATGGCACCAGCGACGACGATGTTCACGAGGTGACGGCACGAACGACAACGGCGCCAATGAGGGCAACCACGTTGGCGATGCGGATGTCCGTATGTCGATGAGGCAGTTGATCGCGGTTATGCCGACAAGGTTGAAGAAGAAATTCGCGCGTGCGCGCGGAAGTTCAACACATCCGACAGACTGATCATGCGCGCGCGGCGGTGCGCGCATTTGGCCCGCGTGGTATTCTTTGCGGGGGATTTGCACCTTCGGCGCATGACAGGAGTGTCGCGGGTGCGCCGCGCGGTGACAATAAATCGCAGGACTTGGAATAATTCACAAGAACCCCATGATTCTTGTATGATTTTAGCATGAGCGCACGGACAGGAACATTGCAAATAAGACAAGTTGCGACGCCCGTTTTTTTTTTTTTTTTTTTTTTTTTTTTTTTTTTTTTTTTTTTTTTTTTTTTTTTTTTTTTTTCCGCTTGTGTGCTGAAGTGCTTGCAACCACATTGTGTTTAATACGATTTTGACATGGACGCGCGCGTGATGATTTTCGGTTTGCAAGGGGTTATTGAAATTTGCTTTCTTAAGATGAAGAAGTACGCGCGCGCCGCTTTTTTGTAGAGGATGGCGGGGGGGGTGATACCAGTTTGGCTAGGATAGTATGAACTCACAGGTAGGATGGACGATTGTGTCGAATGAATATGAAATCGCAATACCCCATGGGGGATCGTTAACGCCGGGGGGTGGGGGGTCGAGTTTGTATTTTTAGATAGGAGAATACATGCTGCGCAACCTATGTTGTGCAACCTTTGTTGAACATTGACGTGGTGCGATCTACATTGTGCGACCCATGTGGTGCATTCAGCGTTGTGCAGTCCATGTTGTGCAACATTTGTCGCGTGAATTAAGTGGAGCAGTTTAGGTGTGACAGTATTTGTTGTGCAACATGTGGGGCAACCGGCGTGGTGCCATCTAGGCTCGCCACCTATGCTGTTCAATGCGTGTGGTGCGGGTAATGGGGTGCAATATAGGTTGTACAATATAGTGAAGCAGTTTGGATGGTGAAACCTGTGTGGTGCAAGCTGTGTTGTGCAATATTGTGTATGCAAGCAACGTTGTACAATCTAGATGGCGCAATCTGTTGGTGCATTTATTTTTGAATAAGTTGGGCTTGTCAGTTCCACTGCTTGCGAAATCATCCCACCCACCTGCCTGCAACTTGGTTCTACAGAGCCCATGCGGCGGCGATTGCGTTGAGTGGTTAGTGCTGGCTGGTGCACCTGTGCGGCCGCGCCACCCCGCGCATGCCCGCGCGCACGTGCCAGCTAGTTTGGCGCGACCGCGGTGGCGGTGATCGCCGGGCATTTCCCAGCGCGTCTCGTAGGCCGCGCTGACGCGGGCGCACTATCATGGCGACGTCGTCGGCACGATGATGATAGTAGCACTGCTGGTAATAATGATGATGCTGCTGATGATGATGCTGCTGGTGATGATGACGACAATGTCACTGACAACACCCATGGCGAGGACGTGTTGGGCGAAATGCCTGGCCCGGCCTACGGACACGTCTGGTGGTGCGACAGGGACGAGCTATCTTTAAGGAGTGGATGAGGAGGAGGAGGGGGGAGGAGGACGATGAGGAGGATGAGGAGGAGGAGGAGGAGGAGGAGGAGGAGGAGGAGGAGGAGGAGGAGGAGGAGGAATGGAGGAGGAGGAGGAGGAAGTAGGAGGAGGAGGAGGACGGAGGAGGAGGAGGAGGAGGAGGAGGACGGGGAGGAGGAGGAGGAGGAGGTGGAGGAGGGAGGAGGAGGAGGATGAGGAGGAAGAGGAGGGGGGAAGAGGAGGAGGAGGAGGAGGAGGAGGAGGAGGAGGAGGAGGAGGAGGCGGAGGAGGAGGAGGAGGAGGAGGAGGAGGAGGAGGAGGAGGAGGAGGAGGAGGAGGATACATAGAAGGAGAAGGAGGAATGGGAGAGGAATGGGAGGAGGAATGAGGAGGAGGAGGAGAGAGGAGGAGGAGGAGGAGGAGGAGGAGGAGGAGGAGGAGGAGGAGGAGGAGGAGGAGGAGGAGGAGGAGAGAGGAGGAGGAGGAGGAGGAGGAGGAGGAGGAGGAGGAGGAGGAGGAGGAGGAGGAGGAGGAGGAGGAGGAGGAGGAGGAGGAGGAGGAGGAGAGGAGGAGAGAGGAGGAGGAGGAGGAGGAGAGGAGGAGGAGGAGGAGGAGGAGGAGGAGGAGGAGGAGGAGGAGGAGGAGGAGGAGGAGGAGGAGGAAACTATTGAGGAGGAGGAGGACGGGAGGAACATCGGGGGGAGGAGGAAAAGGAGGAGGAGGAAGCAAAGGAGGAAACTAACGCCTGTTGCGAAGCCGCCCCCCGCGCGCCGTCGGAGGTAGCGCTCGCGGCCCTGCAGAACGCGGCCCCGCTGGCCATGGGCCCCGAGGGTGGCCCCGCCGGGGATCGCCCCCCCGCGGCCGGCGGTGCCAGCTGGCGCGGACAGGCCGGCTGGGCGCAGGGGCCATTCCTGGCTGGCTGGAGGAGGAGGAGGAAGAGGAGGAGGAGGAGGAGAGGAGGAGGAGGAGGAGGAGGAGGAGGAGGAGGAGGAGGAGGAGGAGGAGGAGGAGGAGGAGGGAGGAGGAGGAGGAGGAGGAGGAGGCTGAGGAGGAGGAGGAGGAGGAGGAGGAGGAGGAGGAGAAGGGGGAGACATAGAAGGAGGAATGGGAGAGGAATGGGAGGAGGAGGAGGAGGGAGGAGGAGGAGGAGGAGGAGGAGGAGGAAGGAGGAGGAGGAGGAGGAGGACGGAGGAGGAGGAGGAGGAGGAGGGGAGGAGGAGGAGGAGGAGGAGGAGGAGGAGGAGGAGGAGGAGGAGGAGGAGGAGGAGGAGGAGGAGGAGGAGGAGGAGGAGGAGGAGGAGGAGGAGGAGGAGGAGGAGGAGGAGGAGGAGGAGGAGGAGGAGGGAGGAGGAGGGAGGAGGAGGAGGAGGAGGAGGAGGAGGAGGAGGAGGCTGAGGAGGAGGAGGAGGAGAGGAGGAGGAGGAGCGGAAGGCGGAGGAGGAGGCGGAGGCGGAGGCGGAGGCGGAGGCGGAAGCGGAGGCGGAGGCGGGGAGGCGGAGGAGGAGGAGGAGGAGGAGGAGGAGAGGAGGAGGAGGAGGAGGAGGAGGAGGAGGAGGAGGAGGAGGAGGAGGAGGCGGGACTGGGAGGAGGAGGAGGAGGAGGGAGGAGGAGGAGGAGGAGGAGGAGGAGACGAGGAGGAGGAGGAGGAGGAGGAGGACGAGGAGGGAGGAGGAGGAGGAGGAGGAGGCTGAGGCTGAGGAGGAGCAGGAGGAGGAGGAGGAGGAGGAGGAGGCGGAGGCGGAGGCGGAGGCGGAGGATGAGGCGGAGGCGGAGGCGGAGGCGGAGGCGGAAGCGGAGGCGGAGGCGGGGAGGCGGAGGAGGAGGAGGAGGAGGCGGACTAGGAGGAGGAGGAGAATGAGGAGGAAAACGAGGAGGAGGAGGAGGACAAGGAGGAGGAGGAGGAGGAGGAGGAGGAGGAGGAGGAGGAGGACAAGAAGGAGGAGGAGGAAACTATTGAGGAGGAGGCTGAGGAGGAGGAGGAGGCGGACAAGGAGGAGGAGGATAAAGGAGAAACGTAAGACGAACACGACTACTAATAATATCGCTCTCTGATAACAACGCTAATAACAACATTATTGATACTACTACGGCTACCACTACTACCACTACTACTAATAATAAGAGAAGAAGAATACTACTACTGAGAGGGGTGCTATTACTAATTATACTACGAATAATACGAACACTAATGCGACGAATACGAATAAGAAACCGATTATGACAACGATTACCAATACTACCAATACGACGAAACCTAATACTCACAACACTAATAATAAGCATAGTCGTTATCATTCCCACACGCATAATCATCACACTTATACTACTTGAATGACGGGGGAACTAATCGTACTACTAAGATGACACATGTCAATACTATTAATACAACGAATAATGAATCTACTATCAACAATAAAGGTGTGACTAGTACTAGCACGAATACTATTACCAACAAGTCTACGACCACTAATGCTGGTAATGCTGATACTAGCAATACGAATGTTCATACTAATAAATGATATCAGTACTCATCATAATACCAATAAGAATGCTAACACTATGACTGCGACTTCCAACTATAATACCAATCTTAATCATAGCGATAATACTAAAGTGCTCAAACATACAAGTACTAATACTACCAACAATAATGCGACTCATACTGCCTATAATGATAGTCATACTATTACTAATGCTGATACTGACACTAATAATGCTAAGCTTATACTAGTAATTATACATTTACACATAATACCATACTACGACGAATACTATTAATATTACTGATATCAATACTAACAGCACTATTAATAATGCTGATGCTACTAATACCAATAACACTATGAATACTACTAACACTAATACTCATACTTATTATAACAGCATGTATACTACTACTACTACTACTACTACTACTCCTACTACTACTACTAGTCGTAACAATAGTACTCATCGTAATACTACTAATACAGACACTAATCATACTAATACTGCTAACAGCAATACTAAGGATACTGATAAGAGTAAGACACCTACTACTACTAATAAAACTAATCAACATAATACGAATACGAGGAGGAGGAAGAGGATGCGGAGGAGGAGGAGGAGGAGGAGGAAGATGAGGAGGTGAGGAGGAGGAGGAGGACGAGGAGGAGGAGGAGGTGGAGGAGGAGGAGGAGGAGGAGGAGATTGTCTAGGCCCCGAGGCCGCCAACAGCGGGTCCAGTACGAGAGGCTACTCCCAGGGACGGGGCGCGCCGCGGGCTAGAGCAATCAGAAACGTCGGATGTGTGGCTCCGTCGCCACAGAAAGGAAGAATGTCTGGGTCCCTCGCCCTGCCCTGTCGGCGGGTTCGAGGGGCGCGCGGGAAAGGTCAGCACGGCCAGGCTGTCGTGTGGGCTTGGGCCTCCAGAAGGCTCGTGCCGGGTCCCTGTGGCGGACGCTGGGGCCCGTGACTTCCGACGGTGGGGTTTCTTCAATCCGCGGGCCCCATGGGGTCGCGACTGCTCCCCAGGGGTGCAGTCAAAGCGCCTAGTTAAGATGAGCAATTTGCCAAGGTTACCCTTGCATCCATGCCCCTTCGGCCCATCCTTGGCCACTTTCGCTGGCCGCGCACGCTCGAACAGTGTCGACATGGCCGTCCGGGGCCCTTGCATTCTTATCGCGCATCCTTATTCTACGCGTTGACTTGAGATGCGTCAGCCCAGATCCATGTTTGACTGTCCCTGGCCCCGAAAACGCGCCCCTCAGAGGCCGAAGCTAAGGAAAACGCCGGGATTCCAAATTCAATCTACCAGACGTGGTTGAGAATTCCGGAACCCGCGAGCAGAACAGCCCTCCTCGTTGCTCCTCGCTTCCTGCTCGCCATCGCCCGCTCCTTGTCCCTCCTCGTCCACTCCCAGATCCCCCCGCGTAGTAAAAAGACAACTATGACAAGGGCTCTGACCGTGTTTGGCCTCTGGGGACCTTTGCCGGGCTCTGGGGCAATCAAATAACGAATCAGGATCTGGGGTCCCAAGCCGGGATGGCAGGGCGCCCGAAGGGCGTGGAAAGGCCCGTCGAAGAATTCTGGAAGGACCTGGAGAGAGAGCTTCCGAGGGACTTTTTCTGGAGAGCTTCCGGGCAAGCGTATTGGGAACGCTTAGAAGAGGCCCTTCGGGCCACGCTGCAACCTCAAGCAAGGCGCGCCGGGGAGTCCTGCCCGCCACCGAAACGAGCTCTGGGGCTACACTGCGGCTCCAGCTTCTTAATCTGAAACCCTCTTAGCTTTAAGTCGGGCCTGTCCCTCTACAGACGGAAAGTTCAGAAATAGTCAAAAAATCGTCAGGGGAGGATTTTTTTGCCTGACCGGTAGGGGGACAGGCCCGACCTACTCTTAGCTCTCTACGAGCTATCCGGGAATGAAAACCCAGCCCCAACGGCGTTGGGGGTCTGGGTCCCCGCTGCTGCTCCCGGCTTGTCGCTGCCGCTGCCTCTCCCCTCCCCTCCTGGCCTCTTCGCCCCCTCGCGCGCGCCGGCGAGGCCGCGACGAAGCACTGGGGGGAGCTCGTGTACAGCTGGTCCGCCCAGCCCTTGCGGCCTCGGGGCCAGGCCAGGGAGGCGGATCATTGGACAGTTCCGGAGGGGTATGGCAGAGGATCGAGGTCGGGTCTCGGGGGCGGAAAAGAGGGGGGTGATGACTAGGGGGCGGTGGATATCATGGCGGGGGCCATGATATTTCCCCAGATTTCATGGCGCCTCTGCGTATTTCATTACGTCCCTGGCCCTCCCGCTGGGCCGCGCACATGCCGCCGGTCATGATTTGCACCCCCCCCCTCTTGGACACCCCCCTCTTGGCCGCTCCCGAGGGTCGGCGTCGCCCAACACACTATAGTATGCGTGCGTCGCCCCCGCAATGGGCGACGCGCGCGCTGAGAAGTCTTGTAGGATATGCTCCGTCGCGGGCGCTTTCTGGCTGTACCGCTCGGGAAACGGTAGATTCCAAGATTTTGCACTACATGGTCGGGTCGGACGTACGCCCCCGAGGAGGACGCATAGTACTAGTACGTCCGTCTGCGTCCCATCCACGGGCCTGTGAAACTAAACATTGTTGGAAGCAAGTCGCAGCAGTGCTGACGCCGCTTTGTGCTTCCTAGGGCCTCAGGAGGCCTCCGGGATCCCAGGCCTCTGGCGGATTGTCTTTTTCAATCGCGGCGGTGTTCCTCAATCTCGCCCTCCCAAGGGCCGTTTTCGGTGTGTGTGTGTGTTGTGTGTTGTGTGTGTGTGTGTGTGTGTGTGTGTTTGTGTGTTTGTGTGTATGGCATATGGCGGCCGGCCGCTGCGGGGCCCTAAGCGGTCTCTGAGGGCTCGGGCGTTCCTAGTCGCTCGCGCGTTCGCTGCTTTACGACCTTCTCCGCCATGTCGCCGTGCGCAGGGCCGCGACGCCCAAAAGTACGTGTGTGTGTGTGTGTGTGTGTGTGTGTGTGTGTGTGTGTGTGTGTGTGTGTGTGTGTGTGTGTCTGTGTGTCTGTGTGTCTGTGTGTGTGTGTGTGTGTGTGTGTTGCGGCAGCTCCAGGGCCCACAGAGTGGACGAGTCACGGCATTGGAGGCCTGGGTTGAGGAGGGCCCACGCGCCACTCCAGCCAAATTGCTTGCGTACCGCTTGACTGGCTCGCGCTTCCAAGCCCTATGACTGGCATCATCCTATCTTTGTGCCGATTTAGAGCACTCCTTTAGTCTCCGAGGGCACATCCCTAACATGGTGTTCGCCTTGAGCTTCTCAGTATTAGAAAAGGATCGGGATAAGCTCGACGCTCGCACTGCTTGCTTCACCCTTCCGTGTCGCCTTCCGCTCGGTTGCACGGTCATGGAGTCAGCCCCGTGTTTTCACGTTTGTTTTACCAAATTAACCCGCCTCGTTCAGCAATTGGCCAATTGACGGGGTTGACCCAGCCCCCTGCCCTTTACCCCCTCTGCCTCGTTGAGGAAATGCGAGGAGAGCGTGGCGGCAGCGTGGGCGCAGGCGTTCCAGGTTAAAGACCCCGACCGTCTTTGTTGGCCCCTCGCATCGTAGCTCGCTCAAGACTGAACGATCTACGCTGCGACGGAAGGCAGAGCCCTCGCGGCCATGGCAGTAGTCTGCCGCAGAATCTGTCGAGCAGAGGGCAAAAGGGTAGATGACGGAGGGGAGATGCAGGAACAGGCGTGGGCAGAGGGCACAGGGCAGCTGCAGATGTAGAAGATGTCGAGGAGAGGGCAGAGGGCAAGGAGGATGGGGAGGAGGAGGAGGAGGAGGAGGAGGAGGAGGAGGAGGAGGAGGAGGAGGAGGAGGAGGAGGGGGAGGGGGAGGAGGGGGAGGAGGAGGAGAGGAGGAGGAGGAGGAGGAGGAGGAGGAGGAGGAGGAGGCGGAGGAGGAGGAGGAGGAGGAGGAGGACCGGGTCGAACGAGCCAGCGGGCCCCTCCACTCCCACAGGATGCCCCAGGAGGGCCTCAAGAGGCCCCCGGAGGCCCCCAAGAGGCCTCCGAGGGGGCACCCAGCGAGGGCCCCGACAGGCCAAGATGAGTGCAGGCGTGGAGAGGGCTCTTTTGAAGACCCCGTAGGTTCAAAGTCTGCCGTCCCGAAGCCCAGGCCCGGGTCTTGGGCACCTCGGCAGCCTCCACCCCGCGATCCTCGCATCCTCGAGCCCGGGCCCTCCCTCCCAAGACAGGCCGGGCGCGCCCTGATGCGCAGGGCGCGCCTCCCCGACGAAGAGAGGTCGGGGGCCCGACGTGCGGACTGAGGCACGGGCCGCGGGCGTGGGCGCGGGCGCGGGCGCGGGCGCGGGCGGGTGGCCTCGTGCGCCTTCCCGCCTCCCCTTTCAGCAGAGGACCTCGCCCTGAACTGGGACGAGCCCAAGCAGCACACGATAAAAACAGCCGTGGGCGGCGCCTCTCCCGAATGGGGGCCAGCGAGGGAGGACTTCGCCCTGCATTGGGACGAGCCCGAGCAACACACACAGCAAGGAGCCGTGGGCAACGCCCAGTCCGAAGGGGGCCAGGGCTGGAGGAGTTCACCCTGAGTCAGGACGACCAGGGCAATGGGAGAAGACATGGTGCAGTGGAAACCCATACCAAGAAACGCCCTGCTTGCCTCCGGGGTGCCCTGGGTTTCTTGGGCTTCGATGGTGGAAGCCACGGTGGAAGTATGGAAAGCGTGCCGTTCCCGCACCACACATCAATGGACGCCCGGGGGTCTCAGCGTTGGGTTTCTTGTGGACGGTCTCTTGTGGTCGAGCTCCTATTGTATCCACACTGCGAACACATAGATCGAGGGGTGGCCCGTGGCCGCTCGAAACCACTTGTGGAAGTCGGCCTGTACCAACTCCGTCTCCCTTGTTGGTGGCGGTGCCTCGTCTGTGCCAAGCAAGGTGCTCGGCTAGACTGGTAAGCTGCGCGCTTCTGGCTGCCTGGCCCGCCTTTTCCTGAGTGCTTCTGCTCTGTTGGCCGCGTACGTGCCATTGTATTAGGAGTAAGGGTGGGGAGGCGGCGGAGGGGAAGGACGAGCGGGAACGTCCCTGCTGTGGCCAGGGATCTCAGGCCGAGCTAGCGCCGACAGATCCGCAATCTCATGCGCATCATCAAGCTCAAGTTCTTCCGAATGATGGGGGGCAGAGCTGTGAGATTTTTCGTTGTCTTCGTAGTCGTGCCTCTATGGCCAGTTCTTACAGCGAAATCAGGACCCATCTCGGGCGCTTCAGAAGCAATCGTGGCAGAGTCACGAACACTTACGCAAATTTGGAACCAAAGCCTGGCCCTCGTCCCTGTCGCATGCTACGACTGATGGAACCACAGCTGTCAACATGGCCTTTCCTAGCATTGTGCGCATGGCTTCAGGATAGACCTTGAGAGCTGTACGTCACCTGTCATTGGCCGAGCCCCAACCGAGGTGTGTAATGTGTGCACGAGATCCTTCGCTGCACGTGCCACGACCTGGGGTGTCTGAAGAATTTCGTGCTAGACCTCCACCCTGGTAGCAAGAACTCCCGTCGGAGCTCGGCGTGCATTCTGGCCACATTCGCATTGATCGAACTCTGTGTAGGTAGCGCACGGGGAGCATGAACTGGCTTCGACAGGGCGAAAGCTCCAGGAAGGGACTGCTCTGGGCTCCCGTACTGGGGCTGCTGGGTGATCTGCCCATTAAGATCCGCTTACCACTGCAATTACAGACAGGAGCTCCATATTTGCCATGAAGAGCGTGTTGGACATCTGAAACTGAAGCCGCTGCGTAGAAATAATAGCCGCAATCCCCCATGGGGATGACCAGGATCGAAGGGGAGGGGGCCACCGTCCGTCTACCGAGTTGCAGGGCAAGTCTTGCACGGGGGCCCCCCTCCCAGCCCGCTACACGGCCCGAGGAGGAGGAGGAGGAGGAGGAGGAGGAGGAGGAGGAGGAGGGAGGAGGAGGAGGAGGAGGAGGAGGAGGAGGAGGCAGCAGAGGAGGAGGAGGAGGAGGAGAGGAGGAGGAGGAGGAGCAGGAGGAGGAGGAGGAGGAGGAGGAGGAAACAGGAGCAGGACCAGGAGGAGGAGGAGGAGGAGGAGGAGGAGGAGGAGGAGGAGGAGGAGGAGGAGGAGGAGGAGGAGGACAGAGCGAGGCCGAGGCATCCCCCGTGCTACCGCAGGTGCGTGCGCCCTTTTAGTGCCGAGGAGGCGCAGGCGAGAGGAGAACGCACAGGTCGACGGCGGGCCGCCTCCGTGCCCGGCGCGCGCGGGGCACCCGCTCCGAGCGGGGGGTCTGCGTGTCGGAGGATGGACGGTGGGGCGGCTCGCCCAAAGCTCAGGAGCTGGTCGCGCCTCTTGGCGCGCCAGTCGGTAGCGCGGTGGCGGTGGCGCGGCTGCGGGCGTGTCTGACCAGGCCTGCTGCAGGGGAGGCTTCGCAGCGCTGCTAATTTACGAAGCGCTGTCTCGCGAGGGGCGTTGCGAGACGGCTGTGCAACTGGCAAGGAGGCCCCAGGGCGCGCCTGCGAAGCTGCAGCTGGCGAGGTGGCACGATGACGACGACGGGAACGAGGACCTCCTCCTCCGTCTTGCAGAAAACTTGAAAGGTCTTGCGCCCTGTGAGGTGGACAGGTCGCCCCCTCTGGTGCACTCACAGAGGCAGCATTATAGGTAACTGTGCGGGACAGCCTGCGCGTGTCTCTCCCAGGCCCAGGTTCCCCGCATGAGTTTGCCTATTGCAGGTCCCCAGGTTCCTCGCATGCGTTTGCCAATCGCAGTTCGGCTTGTGCGGAATTCTGGGCCTGCTTCTTCCGCGCCTCTTGCTGCTCACTCCTTCTTCCCCCCTCCTCTTGGTCGTTCTGATCTTCTGTGGCCTCTCCCGTGGCAGTGCCACTCCTAGGGGGCAGGATTTATTCGCCCATCCTGCTCTGTAGATCGCTCGTGGCTTGCATCACTGTCCGTTGTCGGGGTAGCCCTCTTGATTGGCACTAGACTTCATCTTTCCAATGGTTGCTTTTCTCGGGTCTTCTCTTTTCGGATCGTTTTCCTTCCCTTGCCCGCCCTTCTCTTGCTGGCCAGTGTCCCTCCTCCTCCTCCTCCTCCTTCTCCTCCTCCTCCTCCTCCCTATTCATCTCCTCCTCCTCCTCCTCCTCCTCCTCCTCCTCCTCCTCCTCCTCCTCCTCCTCCTCCTCCCTATTCATCTCCTCCTCCTCCTCCTCCTCCTCCTCCTCCTCCTCCTCAGCCCCGCGGGCCAAGCCAGGTCGCCGCTCCCAATCGGCCTCATCGTCGTGTTCGCGGCGAGCCCCATGGAGCAGGAGGACGGCGCCCAGGAGACCCCGGGCCGCCGAGCGGCGAGGAGGAGGAGGAGGAGGAGGAGGGAGGGGAGGAGGGGAGGAGGAGGAGGGCGCGGAGGAGTGAGGAGGGAGGAGGAGGAGGAGGAGGAGGAGGAGGAGGAGGAGGGGAGGAGGAGGAGGAGGAGGAGGAGGAAGGGAGGAGGAGAGGAGGAGGAGGAGGGGAAGGTGAGGAGGAGGGGAGGAGGAGGGGGAAGGAGGAGGAGGAGGACGGAGGAGGAGGAGGCAGGAGGAGGAGGAGGAGGAGGACCCTGGGGCCGCCGAGCGGCGGGGGTTGCCGCGCCTCCCTCGGCGCCACGCCCCGCAGACCCTGGCGCGACGGGCACGCCTTCCTTTCGGCGCGCGCGGGAGAGGGAGACGAGGCCGGGGCCCGGGGTCCCGGCGGCCCCGCGGGGTCCTGGAGCGTTTCAGCAGTTCTCGGGCCCCCGGGGTCCAGGAGGAGGAGGAGGAGGAGGAGGAGGAGGAGGAGGAGGAGGACGAGGAGGAGGAGGAGGAGGAGGAGGAGGAGGAGGAGGAGGAGGAGGAGGACCAGTGTAAACCCAGGACGCATCAACGATGTTGTAGTCAACCCTCCCTCCAAGCTCCCTCTTCCTAGGGCCCATACAAAGGGTTCATTTCCACGGGAAACTGCCTCGTTGGGGGACAACCGTTTGACGGCCGTGAAGCGTACCAAAACATTACTCGGCACTCCAACGCCACGCATCAACATGACTTTTGCGTCTTGACGGCCCAGAATCGTGACAGAAAACCGTTTCTGTGACCTCAATATCGCGAATCAACGTAACTGTTGCACCCTCAATACTGCGTCCTTCCACATGAAGTGCAATACTGCACCCTCAATACTGCGTCCACTTCTGGCAAGTTGATCATGGGAAGACGTGAGTATCTTGTATATGTGTAAGACGAGTGTGCGCGTGGCTGAGGCGAGAGCCACATGTTGAAACTCACCCGCCCTCAATGCGTGAAACTTGTGTCAGTCTTGAAGTTTCAGGCTCGTAGATGATGAGGAAGTCTCAGGCGAAACGCCTGGCCTGCCTTGTTCGACCAGCCTCGGGGTGCAACAAGGAGGAGTTATTCATAAGGAAAAGGAGTGGAGGATGATGAGGAGGAGGAGAAGAAGGAGGAGGAGGAGAAGGATGATAATGGAAGGAGGAGGAGGAGGAGAAGGAGGAGGAGGAGGAGGAGGATGTGAGGTTCGATCTGGCATGCTTAGTAGGAAAGAGGAGGAGGATAAGGGGACGCTGGCCAGCAAGAGAAGGGCGGGCCAGGGGTCCACCCCTGGCCCCCAGGGGTCCACCCCTTGCCCCTGTACCGTCGAACAGCGACCCAGGGTCAAAGTCCGGCCCCGAGGAACCAGGTCGGGGCCTCTCGGGGTCCACGTGGCGACGACGCCGAGACGGCACGACGGTGGTCTGGAGGGGATGGCTTTCGTTGAGGGGGTCGAGGTGGAAGAAGGGGGCACAGGGTCCTTGCATCCTCCTCCGTCGTGGTCGGTGCTGGGTTCGATCGTCGAAGATCGTCAGCAGCAGCAGGGAGGTCTGGGGGGGGGCGGGAGGGTGAGCTGGGGAGGGGGTCGAATAGGAGGAGGAGGAGGAGGAGGAGGAGGAGGAGGAGGAGGAGGAGGAGGAGGAGGAGGAGGAGGAGGAGGAGGAGGTGAGGGAGGAGGAGGAGGAGGAGGAGGAGGACCAGAGTAAACCCAGGATGCAGCAACGATGCCGCAGTACGCCCCCCCCCGCCCCAAGGCTCTTCCGCACAGGTCCCTGCAGTGGCGTTCTTGTCGGCCCCCCCCCCGGTGGAGAGACGCGCGAGCCGTGGGGCTGCTCGGCGAGATCTCCGTTCTGCGAGGGAGCCGTCGTGCAGCTCTCGCGCTATGCAACCATCGTGTTGCTACAACGAGCGCTGGGGCGCGTTGCCGCGACGTTCGAGGTTCGAGGTTCGAGGTTTTCGGACGTTTTCGTCGGCTCCCGGCGGTTTCCCAGCCTCGCCCAGGGTTTTCTCCAGGGTTTTCTGGGCGTGCCGGGGATCTGAACGAACGGCCGCCAGAGTCCGGAATTATGGCCCGAAATCTTACCCCCAAGGAACGATGGGAATAGGTCCCCGACCTAGATCTAAGGTACGGTCCTGAATCCCGAGCCCCTCCTGAGCCTGAAGTGGTCCTGGTTTGAGCGCTTCTCCCGTAGGGCATGCGACGAGATGTCCGGCGAGAGCCCCCGCCCTACATCCCTGCAGCTGTGGCACTATGCGACCCTTGTGGTCATACTGGTTCGATGAAGTTTGAAAGCGAGAACCACGTTTTGAGAGGTGCCCACGCCTCGGTAGGGTTCAGCCAGATATCGTTACGGCAGTTCTTTTCACTGCTCGCGCCAGTGTTGACTCAGCAATGCGATTGTGTATCCTTCGTCTGCTCGCCAATGCCGTAGTGCGAAACGTCTAGCCCAGCGTTCTGCTAGAGCATACGTCGATCGCCATGCCTGCTTGAAGCAGGCACAACCGTAACAGACACTGAGGCGAGGCTGACAGTTCTCAAGTACGGATCCCGTTTCTTTGCGCGTGGAGCAATTTGTGTTGGATCTCGACTTCTGTTTCCTCCCTGGATGCTCGGCAGCTCGCGCGCCTCGTTGTGCTCACATGTCTTGCACAGAGCCAAGGGCAGCTCCACCACTTCTACTCTGTGTCCCTGCCGTTGCCTGTGCCTTCCTGCGTGTGACGCTACGCGACAAAGCGGATCCATGCCCAGGACGCATTGGGGAGGGAGCGGATGGCGTCGACCTGTGGCGACGCTCACGTGCCCGCTACCGTCAGGCTAAGCCTCACGTTCGACTGACGCATGGGCTGACAGCGCGCCAAGGTCTGCGGTGACCGCGCTCAGACAAACAATCTCCTGGGATGGACAGGCTTTGAGGAGGGAGGGGAGGACTTCGAAGAGGGAGGGAAGGGAATTGGGAGAGAAGGGATGCTCGGCCGCAGCCTGGTGCACGCGTCTGGGGGGGTGCTCGGCCGCAGCCTGGAGCACCGAGGCCGTCGTTCGAAAAGGGACCTACACCGGAACGACCCCACTCATACTGGGGGGCACTTGTCTTCGAGAGCCGATTTCTTCCTTCACTGCCGAGGCTATAGCTCCGGCCAAGGCTGTCCAGGCAGTGATGACCATCACACGACTGCAGTCATCAACCAGCCGTCATCACCTTGACCTATGCCTAGCGAACGAGCAATAGAGAAGGGATGGAGGGAGGGAGGGAGCAGGGACGATGGGAGGGAGGGAAGGACCTCGAGGAGGCTGTATGGGCGGCTGGCCCCCCCTAGTCCGATGCCTACGCATCCAGGCACCAGAGGCCCCCGCTGAGGCCGTCTCTGCATACTGCTGACCCTTCGCGCGCGTGAAACGACAATTGGCTGCTGGTGCTCTTCCTTTCGCCTCGCCCTCCTCCCTCTCGATATGGACGCTTCAGGAGGGAGAAAATTCTAGCGTGGACCCCAAACAGGAAATTATTGCGGTGTGGATGTGCAGTCTATGTGGTGCACGCGGTGTACGCTTTGTATATAGTGCAGGCTACGTGGCGTAAGCTGTGCGGTACAGGCAGTGTGGTGCAGGCCATGTGGTGTGAGCTGTGCGGTGCAAGCTGACCAGGTACAAGCCATGCGGTGGACGCTGTGCAGCGCAGCCCATGCGGTGCGAGCTGCGCACGCCGCGAAGGCTGTGTGGCGCAGGCTGTGTGGTAGAGCCTTCCTGGTGCAA